TATGTGGTCTCATAAGTCATTGATTTCGTTCGGCATTTGTACATGTTTATTTAGTGATGTTCTCGAGTAATATTTTTTATGTATATTTATAATATCCACACATATTGTACGGAAAGCTATTATTTTTTCAAAAAAATTAAATTATTATTTTAATTTGTTGCTTGTCAATATTCGTTTTATTTAAATAAACGACTCTTAAACGCAATAGTAATACCTAGCGTTTCTATATATTTCATTATTTTAATTATCATATAAAAGTAATATTTTGGATAGCTGACAATTTTCATTGATCCATATGATTATGCATAAGTATTGAGCTAAGATCACATTAAATATTCTACGTTGCACTTAAAACATTTTATAGAACGGCAGCTGTCAGTTTTGTTTTGAACTATACCTACGGTCTTCCTAATTGTATATTCCTCTAGATTACACTTAAAGTAAAAATAATATTGTGTTCTGTAAAATACCATAATACAGTTATATGAAATAAGTAAAAGCAATAAATTGTTATTTTTATATTCTTACTATACCTATCTAGGCTGCGAGGAATTCACATAGACGTATTTAATTTGGTAATCTAATGAATTAGATACTGTATTTTTATAAAATTTACAATTTTATTTCTCCAAGGATAATACAACTAAACTTGTACATTTTAGATTTTTTAAATAATGTGTACCTAAATTATAAAATACTCAATCATTTAACAACGCTTTATCATATGGGCTGATGATTGTGAATACTCTTTGTAAAATATATTTATAAAAACACTTTTACATATATTTTGACAATAATATGTGAATTATAATTAATTTAGGATTAAATAAAACATTTTAAACGAATTATTAAAATTATTGATAAAATTATCTAACAATTTATTATTATATAAGTACATTTGCTTATTATTGTGTATTTATTCTGCAATTATGTTAAGTGAATAAATACATAAATTATACAAAATAGATGCATGAATTTAGTGCGTTCATGGACAATAGACACCACGGTACATTAATTAATGCAACTAACATCCTAAAAATATCCTTAACCAATTTACTAAATGTTTTAGTTAGCTGATAATTTAGAACCATATTAATACCCGGATAGTAAAAATAAAAAAAAATGTATAATATTTAGAATCTAATAATTATTTAAATGTTTCATGTTTGCACTTACTATAGGTACCTATACTTAAATATAAGTGTTGTATTTAAAATACTTCACTTTATATTTTATTATGTAATTATGTTTTAATTAGGTATATTATACACACATTTTATTTTGATAGATGTTTTAACTTAGCGTATACGTCTTTAAAAGCAATAAAATGTATTTTTGGAAATAAAGAAAAATATTATTGTAAAATCAAAGATTAATCCTCTCGTATAGGTAGGTACACTATAAATAAAATATACTTCTATAAGCTGTAAATCTTGTAGTTTCAAAATGTTTTAAAAATATTATTTGTAATAAAATAAAACTAAATTATATGTCTAAAATGTTTATGGTTTAGTTTACTCGTGCGTTAAAGCATTCGATTGGTCGATTGAATTTGTAATTTAAAATTTGAACGATATACTTGTAAGTTATCTTTTAATCGTATAAAAACACTCAGAGAAAATAAAATTAAAACGCTATTTTAAATCGAAGATAATAATAGTAATTGAATTGTATATGTATGAACGGGCACAATTGGTGATAGATTCAATGCATGAACATTTATTTCTACAAGACATAAGTGTAATGTGTAAAACATTATACCTATTTAACACCGCGATTAACAATTTAATATGGAAAAAACGATGAGTGGTGACCGGTGCAAATTCCACAGACGTCGGTACAATTTTACTCTCATTTGGCATTTAAATAATGTGTTCGTGTGGGCTAAATATATATACACACATAGTATAAAACATACGTATATATAATATAATATATAAACATATACTAAATTTCATTATATACTACATAATTCACAACACAGTTCCCACACGTCGATATTGTAGAAAGAATAGGACGCGTGTGGCGTTGCGGGGTAATGCACCGCGGAGGGAAATAAAACATCTCGAAAGTCATAAAAAGATATATGATATTATTTTTATTACAATAAACACGCCGTGATCGCAGCTGGATAACGTCATGTTCAAAATGACCACGATAATTTTTTACAACATAATACGTCTTCACCCTTGATGTATCTGGGACTTCATATCCGGCGGCGGCAATGGCTGCAGGGGGGACGAAATCCAGTTTATATGGTATTTCGCCGAAATATTATTTTTCGAGCACGCGTACTGATATGTGTATACGTAATACGTATAAACTATAATATATTATGTATAATATATGCGTATTATATTATATATATATATAAATGTAGGCAGGCAGGTAGGTACTACCTGGTGGCGGCAGCAATCCAAAGAAATGATCGGCAGTGGAGGGAGAGTGGAACGAGGGAGACACAAATCGTTTATTTGTGACCGAAGGGGTGGTTGTGGTGGATAGGGGATGATTTGTTTTGACGCCAGGTGCCCATGGTAACTGGATTACATATAAACGGCCGCGGTGGGATCGCGTGCGACGAACGGTTTTTCGACGCTGGCACCCTCCCCTTGTGATAACCCTCCTTTCACTTCCACCACTACCACCTACCGACATCAATTCTCCAACACCCACATATGCAGCCAATGATACAATGTGTATGCGTACTGTGTATAACTATATATACCTGCGAAAATGCGGCGCAGGATGAAACATGTGAAAGCCGAGTACGCCGTCGCACGTGCGTCGCCTGGCGGTTGCAATAGCGGTGGGATAGTTTTTCTCACAAATTTTATTTTTTTATTTCAAAAATCTGACATGTGATCTATTTATGTCACTTTACAAACGGGTTGCAGGTCTCACGGTGAGAAAAGCAATTCCATCGCCACCGCCCCTACCCTCCCCCCCACATTACGCACGCTAAAGTTTCCCTGAAAAACTCCATCGGCGTAGGTATAATGTTCGTACACGTAAGGAGTATATAGGTAGTTACTTCGGTATAAGTTTTATAAAAATCGTACGTCACGGGCAAAGTTTATGAATCCGGTTTTTATTACATACAGAATCATGGTTTTTTTTTATAATTTATTTTTTATGTGTATATAATATAATATATACGTACAACTGATAATTCATAAATAATAAAACATTCATACCATCCAGGCAAAGACCGCTGTGTACACAATAATAAATAATTTTCGTCCGGTTAATTAAAGCAAAACCACTGAAAGACCGTCGGGATAAAAAGGACAAGCAAATGTGTAGAAGAGAGTAAGTGAGAGGGAGATGGGGAACAGGATGAAAAGGGTATGCATACAGACCGAAGAGTTAGAGGTAATAAACTAGGCTCGTTAGTTGTCGTTTTAAGGTGGGGCGCCGATGGGTTACGATTTGTTTGGGATGTAAATAAGCCATCACCAGCGGGCGGCCGATAATTTTTATCATTATTTATTTATTTGTCTTTTCGTTATTTATTTACTATATGGATTTATTGCGCAAAGCACACACCGCGCGATTTGCTTTTTTCAGGGTTCTTTTTTTAACGAACATGGCGCTCCAACGAAGAGAAAAAAAAATGCAATAGATCACTTATTATTTATTTTTCATAAAAACCAAAAAAAAATTTACATATTCCCACGCCTAATTCTAATGATTTTACAGCTAAAAAAAAATAAAATCAAACATTTCTAATGCCTCGAATAAAGACACTTAACATACTAAAATATCTACATACGAAAATAGTTTTATTATTTCACTCAAATTCAATAATATTTTATTTAATGGCTTTCGAAAGAAACCTCATATCTAAAAAAAAAAAACACTAAAAATAGTTACTGTCTTTCCAACGCAGATCTTCAAACGATATTTTTAGTTTTACATAAGTTACAAGTTAAAACCTCTAACACATGTTAATATTTTTCAATCGATAATGTAACCTGGATAATAAATAGGTATAGTAAAAATAAAAAATTTACCGATTTGAAAAATGTTGGAGGTACGATAAGAAATTTCAAAATTCTATATTATTACTTACTATAGTAGGCACAATTTAGTCATGTAGATGTGGTATAGAACATAAATATATTAACACTCATAAAATTTAAAGTTTTTGTGAACCATTCTACCAGGCGAGATTGTTACGATTTTTAATTGTTGGCTATAATGTTTAGTAACTTGAATGATTTAAATCAGAGTACCTATTACCTAAAAAAAAAAAAAACAATAACGAATACATAAAATGCACAAACGGAATAATGTTCCTGGCTATTTTATAACGTCATGCCTCGAGTAATCTGGATAATTTTGACATTGGTATGCAAATTATCGACTAGTATTACTATAGCAGTTAACTTAAAACACATGACAAAGAATAGATTTATACTCGTTTCGATTTTATTAGGGTTAAACAGCAAGGAAATCATAGAAAATCTGATTAAAATGTTTATGTTGTGAATACCGGTTTTAAATTTGTATTCTATACGTTCGTATTATTTATACAAAATAAATCTCGATAAATATGTATATTGGGCAATTCGCCAAATAACATTTTATAATGGTTTCAATTAACATTTTGTGTAATTCGTGATATAAAGTTACGATATGAAGTTCTATGGTGTTACATTGAAGATCGAACCAGCTTAACCTGCACGTAGTCTAATCTTTATGTGTATGTATATGTGTAGTATATAGGTACTGAACGAAATAAAAATGTTGTATTTATGCAGGACTTATTTAAATTTCGAATAAAATGTTATAGCAACGACATATTCTATAGCTAATGATACCACGCGTGCATGTGTAAGCGTTGGAGTATAGATAAATATCAGTTTCAAATTGAATCATCACACGAGGGTGTACTTACTAAAATAATAGGTAGTCGTTATACGGATGACTGACATAATTTCTGCTACTCATGGTGTGATTAATAGCATTATAATGTTTTATTTTTTTCTTTACAGTTACTATGCACAAGTCCAAAGAAGAACAAGCCAATGTTACCAGCTCCCAGTACCAGCGTTCCAGGACGTGCCCGGAGCCACATCATTTGTACTTGGACGGAGATATGTTCCTACAAGTGAATAATTAAATACGAAATTTAATCGTGACAATACAAAAAGATTCTAATATAAATTCTAATTATTATTTCATACAGGCATTAAACGGATTTTTGGTGATGCTCACTTGTGACGGGGAAGTTTTCTTTGCTACACATACCATAGAAAATTACCTTGGCTTCCACCAGGTAACTTAAACTTATTGGACTTTTTAAATATATACATATATATAATGTATATTAAGTCTATGTTTCTGTTAATTTTGAAAAACGTACCTATGTTTCATCTATTAATATAATTGTGTTAAGTTTAATATCTGTTTGATTTTAATCAACTCTTAATTTCAACCATATTATAGTGAAAATACATTAAAAGCCGATCATCGATAGATTTATTAAAAATGTTGGTATAAACATGTGTAATGAAAATTGAAAGTAGTAATAGGTACCTACATAATATTATAGTAACATTTCAACAGCTGCATCTGTACTCCGTATACACGTGGGTACAATATAATGGGTCATGCAGATGTATTCTAACAAAAAAAAATAATTCCTACCTATACATATACATTTATATACGCATATATCATACCATATATTATTTCAATATATACCTACTCGTATGTGGCTATGTGTATAAAAGACACTTTCATTGTTATTGTTATTTTAATTATGTTTTATTATGGTACTAATTTTTAACTGACAAATTAATTGAACATTTATACCACATATGTAGACAACATTTGTATACAAAGCAATATTATTAAAGCATAACTTTCGTCAAACAAGAGACCCTCAGGTATATACAATAAAATGTATATTATAAGCTAAATGTATTTGTGTCAGTTGAAATTTTAAAATTACGACTTTTCAAATCTACTAATGGTCATTTATAAAAGACACAAATATTGGACATAAATATCAGGAAATAATATTATTACCTAACAACAATAATAAACATCTTTAATGAAACAAATTATTATCATACACAATAATTTATAATTTATATTGTCTTTAAATACATTCCCTTCTGATTTGGATGGATTATAACAGGAAGTCAAACGTTCGTCGATATTATGTTACGGACTATGGTTATATATTTGCAGACATTTACATAAGTATAAAATAACAATAAAATAGATATTTTCAACTTCACAAAATTATTTTTAAATAATAATAAATAGGCCAACTCACTATCATTTACACGACAACTGACGCACCAAGTTTCCTAATAATCACTGTCGATTGAGCCGATTTAAAGATTACGTTAGCCGGTTGTAGAATATTTAAATTAGTTATTGTATAATATATAGCTATAAAAAGTAAAATATTTTTATACTGATATCAGATATATTTGTTACAAGGCGATTAAAGTCTGACGGTGAGAATTATTTACATAAGAAAACGTCGAATTCCGTCCCTTTTAAAGGTTGAATTAGATAAATAATAAAGTTTAAGTACGTAATATACTACAGTAAACGATGATCCATTATTTCATGTCTTAGACATCTAACAGCCAAACTACACCACATTGGTAAGAAATATTGAATAAAGCTTTAAAAACATTCGTGTTAAGGTGAACAATAATATTTTGTAATATTTGTCATTTATTTAGGTACCTATAGCATTTTTTTTAAATTAATTAATTTTAAATCTTAATTTTTTGTAACATGATTAGTTACTTTTATAAAAAATGAGCTTGCTACCAGTTTTTACGACCCTTGAAATAAATAATAGTCATCAAAGTATTTATTTATTTTTAAACGACCTTTTCAATGAATAAAAACAATTCTAATGTCTTAAGCTTCACTTTGATTATTCTTTAACTGCCAATTATTTTTATTATGAGATAAACTTACAATGTATTTATTTTTGTCAACACAATAAATAAATATAATAACTTTATAATGTTTAAGGTATATAATACACTATTATAATCTATAACAACAATAATTTTGAACAGACCACCTTTTGATAGAACCCTTCACAATAGAATTCATTTTATTTAATCAAAACAATAATAGAACTATCAATTCAAAATTTGAATAAACCATAATAAGGTTGCATTATATGCATTAAATACGCTAACGTCCAACAAGGTAATTACTCGGTTTATCCTATTTATGCTGGTTATAATATTCTAGTCAAGCATAACAATATTGTACACCTAATATTTTTTTTTATTGCAATGATAATTCAGTTATAAAAATAATGTGAGCTATTATTAAATAATATTTCTCCAAAAAAAAATATAGAAATTGTATAAACAAAAATGAAAGAAGTTGTAGATTATTAATCACATACTAGCTAACATAGTAAAATAGATTAAATGAAACGTGTTTGAATAATAATATCAATGTTCGTGTTATAAACTAGTTAACGAAAATATAGACATTTGATTGCATTTTCAAAAACTGTTGATCCACTTTTCTACAAGTTACAAATATTTAAATTGAAATTAACTTACAATTATAAAAAAAAATATAATTGAACACATATCAATATTTTTTTGAATATTGTCATTGATTTTTAATTATGCTAAAACCTAATAAAAATTTTGGAAGTTATTCACAGATCTATATCTTATTTTTCCTCGATATAAATAAGAGGTGGGAGTAACCAAAGGGAAATATTAGAGAACATAGCGTGGTTAGTGAACCATGTTTCCTGTAACAGTGTGCGCATTTGAATATTATCCCGGTAATTATTAATACTCACAGTTCCAATTGTAATACTTTCTACTTTTTGGTATAAATACATAAAGGTACAAAATATCATTTTTATTAGTTATTATTTTTATAACTTAAGTGAGCCTACACAAATATGAATATGTATATGAATTAAAATGAATATGCATGACGGCCGTGTTAAAAACCTATTCTACTAACCTACCGCATAATAATTAATGCGCGATAAATAAAAAACAAAACCTCCCCCAAAAAATCTATGAACTATTAACATTTTTTTTAAATAAAAACTTATAGTTAACAGGAAATAATCATAAACTCGTCACCAAAAAAGCAGTCTCCATTTATTTACTACAAATTTAATGCCGTACCTTGTGGTACATTATGTGTGTAAAAATATCAATTACCCATATGTTTTAAAGTCTGATTCTTCAACCACAATAATATAATATGGTTAAACAACCAACTCCGTATAGTGCTGTCTATACTATAATGATGAATAAGCAATGGAATTGTCTATGAAATACAAAAAAATAATTGTATATTTAAGTGTTTATTTACTCTGGTTTTTACTAAAAAAAAAAGTCAAGAGTATAAAAATACAAAAATTTAGTTAATGAAATTTTTTACTTTTGTTCAATGGTTTTATTCACAATTACTTCAAATGCGTCAATAATGGCATTTATAATTCGATTTTAAAGTGATAGTTTAGACGTCGGCGCTCTTTTTCAAGATTGCCTTGTTATTGTTGTCGTCGTCGTCGTCGTCGTATATTATGTATATGTTCTTATCATAATGCTATTATAAAGCTATATTGTCTGGTTTGATTTCACAGTCCGACATCGTTCACCAGTCAGTCTACGAACTAGTGCATTCTGAGGACCGAGAAGAGTTGCAGAGACAGCTCATGTGGAATTCGGCCATACCCACGGAACCGGGGTCGCCGTCTCCGTCCATCACATTGCACGAGGCCTTGCACCCGGATAACGGCCGTCTGTTGCAGCGTAGTTTCACCATCCGTTTCCGGTGTCTGTTGGACAACACTTCCGGTTTTTTGGTAAAATAAAATTACAACAACGACAATAATAATAATGAATAACATTTAATATTATATTATAATATAACATATTAATACAATTACTGTAATTATGTGCAGCCCAATTTGTTCGTGTCTTCCTCATTTGTGCAATAATACGATAATAATAAATGCGACTATTTTTTTTGTTTTGTGGATAGAGACTGGACGTCCGCGGACGGATCAAAGTAATTCATGGCCAAAACCGCAAGTCAGACGAACCACCACCATTGGGCCTTTTCGCGCTATGCACGCCCTTCGGCCCGCCGTCTTTACTTGAAATACCGCACAAGGAAGTCATGTTTAAGAGTAAACATAAGCTAGATCTCAGCCTAGTGTCTATGGACCAAAGGTTTGTGTTATCTATATTAATTTTCTATTGTTTAATTTTGACATAGGTAGGTAAATTTAATTTAAATATTTAAAAATTCAAATTATTTCATACCTCATTATTTTATTTTGTGTATTTGTTGTATGCAGTCATGCAGATATACTTATTCTGATATGTTATATTATACATTATTCAATTCAATTTCAAAGCCACAAATTATTTGCATAATTTAAATAATTATTTAGTATCAAACGGACATAATATTATTTCAATATTCTATTACCTATACATAGATTGTTTTAACGGCTGTTAACATTCATTATCGTTTTGAAAATATTTGATAACATAATTCAGAGTTATGAAAATTAAGAAACAAAGTTATTTTAACTATATTTTATTGTTGCCATTTAGTGAGTTCTTTAGTTTTATGATTGACAATTTAGACATATTATATAGGTGCATTTTAGATTATAAGCGGAGCAGCTCCGTGTGATTGAAACATTTTATTTGCTGTAATACGCAAAATAACAGAAGCAAAAAATTACACTCCTTTTAAAATCTTAAAGCTGAAAAAAAGAAATGTTTAGGCAAAACTACATATCATAGATCTTAAAAATCGATTTTGTATTTTTGTTGTTATCCAAAAATGTTGATAGTATTATGTACCTAATTAAACTAAAATAATTCAAAAGATTTGTAAAACAACTATTTTCCTAGTGGCAAATATCGCCGAGGGTATTGTTTATTAAAAATAATAAAAAAAAATTCTGAAGAATTAACATTTTTACTAAATAACTACATTAGTATTTTGTAACATACCTACTATAATTTTTGGCACTTTTGATCTCCACTTACAGAAATTTTAAATTTTCTACATTTCCCATTTTTTATTCGATTTCTATTTTGGATTTCATTCTGAAAAGTTTGAAAACTTAGCAGTTAAAAAATATCAAAAAAACATTGTCATGACTTTTTTATAATTGTTTAAAGTTTAAAAACACTAATACATTGTGAGATAATAGAATTTCGTAATACCACAGTATATAATTAATCATAAACACACAATTGAACATGCAATTTTTTTTCAGAGGCAAGTTATTATTAGGTTACTGCGATTCCGAACTCGCTAATATGGGAGGATACGACTTAGTCCATTATGATGATTTAGCGTACGTGGCGAGCGCCCATCAAGAACGTAAGTGTTTTTATATTATATATATTATGTACATCAATACTTCTTATAATATCATACTGTATCTCACATAATCACCCACAATCTTAGCTTATAATTATTATAGGTAGGTACACTATAGTTCTCGCGTAGGTAATAAAAATGTAATCTCAGTCCAGTTGCCTTATTATAATTTATAACAAATATATTTTATGATATATATTGATGGGTATAGTATGTAGCATTCGCGATTCGTCATTTTTATTATACTATTATTACTTTTAACTTACACGATTTTATGTTTAAATAAGTTATCAACAAATATGTTAAGTGATTAACATGTTTTTTCTGGCCCGTTATATTAAATTTACTTTTATAATATTGTAGAATCAATGTCAGATCTATAAGCGGGATATGTATCGCTTGCCATTTCCTTACCTTTAAGTAAACTTTGAATGTAATAATGTAGGTAATACGTAGGTATTAGTTACTATTAAATATACATCAAAGTATTTAAAAATAATAATAAAAATACCAACAACAGTAATATTATGTCAGTTTTTCAGAAATTAAATGCTTTAAAATTATCTGATAACTTAATAGAAGCTTCCTAAAAAAATTGTTACATGTATAGGTTAGGTTAGTTTGTTTGGTTACACACAGTTAGGTAACTATTTTTTACACTGGTGGTATAATTAACATATTAACTTATCTTATCCTATAGGTTCAAAAATAAATATTCAAATTCATAATGAATATTTAATTATAAAGATTATAAGTTTATCACAGAATCGCGCTATTATGCTACCTACATAGTACTATCAAAAATAAAATTCCCAGGCCCGATTAAATGTTGGGTTACATTTTTATATTCATTACAGTCGAATATACAAATTTAAAAGAGTTAAATCTTTTTAAAAAAAAATATACATTTAAAAAGCTGGTATAATAATTGCATTAACTTTAGATGTTTATTTATAAAAACTTGTCCATCGTTTTTTTTTTTTAGTGTTGAAGACTGGAGCATCAGGAATGATTGCCTATAGGGTGCAGACCAAACCGGGCACGTGGCAATGGCTACAGACTAGTTCCAGACTGGTTTATAAAAACTCGAAACCTGACTTTGTGATTGGCACGCACAGACCTTTAATGTAAGTATCTATGCCTGAACTAATAATAAGGATGTATCCTCTGACCAGCAAGAGGACACACCGATTTTGCACATCCCCCTGCATCACCCTGCCATCGAAACGGATTCCCCTACGGCAGCGTGAAACGTGAGGGGATGAGCAGAAGAACCGATTTTCTTCGGTTCGTCGCATGTTTTCTCTCACTGAACAGAGTATAGGCGTGAACCCCATAAGTCACGGACGCCACGCCTATATTGAACAGCGGACCAACAGTGTATATTATAATACAGCATCGATTTTTCTGGTCCCCCGTATACAGGGAAGAAGAAGGCCGCGATCTGTTGGGCAAGCGGACCATGGACTTCAAGGTCAGTTACTTGGACGCGGGACTGACGAATAGCTACTTCAGCGACTCGGAACAACTGTCCGGCACGTTGACGACGTCCACCACCGCGGCGTCCACCGCCGGTGCCGGCACAACCGGGTCGGCCGGTCAAACGCAACCGTCGCAGCCTAGACGCCGGTACAAAACGCACCTACGCGACTTTCTGTCAACGTGCCGGACGAAGCGGAAACTGTCAGCGAGCACCGCGACACCGGCACCGACGGTGGCCGCCACCGTGGCCGTCGATTATCCGACGGCTGTCCAGGCGCCTTCGGTGCCCACCGCCCCGCCGCCGACCGCGGACGTCCTTTACACAAACCTAAACACGGCGGCGCTGTACTCGGCCGGACCGTACAACGGGGCAGTAGTCGCTGATAACGGTGGATACCACCAGACGAATTTCCATCAGACCCTCTACGATACTCGAATACCGTACCTGACGGCCACTGACAACCTGTTCCAGTATAGGTAAAATATAATGTTTAGTAATAATTGAGTTTCTAAAAAAAAAAAATTGTATACCATACATTGTGTATAAATTATTTCATTTATCTATTAATTTAAACCATACCTTTACCTATATAGCATTGTAAAACGAACTTTACAGTTATGTCGAGATGTATACGATAAACCTATATAGTAGGAATATTATCTATAGGTACAAGGTAATTCGCTAAAGCACGCTCACTCCCTCCTCTCTTTATACATTAATAATTTTATTCAAATTCTGATTTTTAAATGTTATAATACACCTTAAAGCTCCATGTTTTTTAATACTTATACCTATTCTTGTATAATTTAAGGATTAGAATAGTTTTTCAAAAAATAAAATCATTTTTACCGTTTATGAGAAAATTTTTATTTAAAATATTTGAGAATTTAAATAAAAATTTGAACGAATAGTTTTTACAGAGTTAATTAACTTTGTGTACCTACTAAAAGATAATATTATGTCGATGATAATAGGTTTGAAAGATATAGGGTCTATAGTTTAAAAACTTGAGTAATTAATAATAGTTTATTAACATTTTGTAATTTGTAAAAATGTCTTAAGTGTAATAAGAACTTGACTATATATTAAATATATTTTATATTCTACGTAAAATCATTATTCAGGACTATTACCCTTAATACACAAACTTTAATAATTCAAAAGCTATTCATTCTAAACTTAATTTAGGCACACCAAAATTAATTTACTTATAGTCATAACTAAATCAATAGTAGAAACGAAGGGTTCTCACTAGAAAAAAGTACATTTGTATTGTGACGGACCACTCATTAAATTGCACAACAAAATTTACAAGCTTTTAAAAATATACTACTTAAGTATACTTATAACTTAAAACAATCAGAATTCGAATTAATTTAGTATCAAAGGATAAAAGGGGCTGAACATGCTTAGTGAATTTTATTAAGCATTCTTATTCCTCATTATTGTACAACATACGTTATTTAATTTTGTAGGCCTTTGGGCAACTATTACACTGAATACCACACACCGGCCACTACACCATACATGGGCAATGGGTTTTTGGACATAAGTCCCAGGGGACCAGTGCAGTGTGGTCTGCCCACATACGATCAACTGACCACAGTAACGACGGCGACTGTCGGTGGCAGAGAATGCGGCGACAAGCTGTACGGATCGCCACCAGTAGTGTCGATGGATCATCACCAACAACAGCAGCAGCACCTACACCACCATCACCACCACCACCAACAGCAACAGCAGCAACAGCAACAACAGAGCGGCGAAGACAACATAGGAAAATGTCATATGGACACCTCCACGGCCGCCGCCGCCGGTCTACCGTACCTGGTGCCATTGTGCGACGTTCAGTTCCGCACGAAGAGCTCCTCGCCACCGGTGCCGAATGGTCTGAAAATCGAAGACTCGAAATCCGAATACGGAATGCAATCGTCTGATTCGGACGTCCCCAGGCAAACGGTACTCATGTGGGGCACGTGTGTTGGGGACTCTTCGTCGTCGTCGCCGCCCAATCAATCGCCGGGCGGCGGCGGCAACGGTATTAATAATAGTAACGGAGGCGGCGGCGGCGGCGTTGGCGGCGGTGTTAACGGCAATGGCAGTGGAACGGGAGGAGGTGGTGCTGGTTGTGCTAACGGTGGTGCTGGTGGTGGTGCCAGCGTTACTGGAAATGTAGGTAATGGTAGTGCCGGTGGCGACGGTGGTGGTGATCCGAGGACGTCACCGCAGATCAACGGCCATCCACCGTCGCCGTACGTACAGCGGAAGAAAATGTCACCACCCGCGCCGCAACAGCCACCAACCGGAAGTCCGTCCGACCAACTTTGCAAGTCGCATCTACAAACGGACATGCCAGATACACCGCCTAGCCCGACGGCGGCGGCCGCAGCAGCGGCAGCCGCGTATGCTAACCACCATCACTACCATCACCAAAACCAGTATCATCACCACCATCATCATCATCAGCAGCATCATCTGACCGGGGGCCCTGAGGTATGGACACCCCCGCACGCGCACCCACCACCACCACCTCCACCGCACCACTTCTATGCTTATCACCACCACCAGTGAGTGTTTTTATTTTTGAGCACAAACGTGCGCAATGCGATCGAATCCAAAAATCAAATCATTTTCTTTATATATTCTAAACATGAAAAAACCAGAAACAATTTTGTAAGCAAACATGCGTTTTTAATTTTTAAATAACAATACTTTTTCTAGAAATTAATTGTTTTTAGTTTTCTAATCCGATCGCGCTGCGCATAAATCATGCTTTACCGCAATTATACGATCATTGAACACTAAACAGTAAATACTAAATATTATGCATTTATACAATGCCAATAAATGGATATAGCTTATAATAGTTTACAGAATATAATTAAACTTTAAAGTAATACAAATCAACAACAACAACAAATGTTAAGCTAATTCATACAAAGACATTTCCAGAGTAATATTAGTCTTAAATGTACATCATAAATATTATGTACACATAATTGTATTTATAATAATTATGATTTCGATACTCAAACTTGGATCTTATTTTGTCGAATGTTTAAACGAAAAAGCGGTATGTCTTAAACTAACAAAAAACGTGCTTGTCAAGTTCAGAATAATAAACCGTGTAAAAACTATCTAAAAAAACTAAGTTCAAGTACCTTTTATTTAATCGAATGGGTATACAGCACGTAAAATAATGTATCGCATATCATAATATAGTTATTAGTTACAGACGGTAGAGAGATGACCAAAAACTCGTGCGTAACATTAATTGCGACAATGACCACGTCGATTTGTATTGATTTCAGCAGCAACAGCAGCAACAACAACAACAACAACAACAACAACAACAACAACAACACCACCATCACCACCACCTCCACCACCAACAGCAGCAACAACAACAACAGCAGCAGCAACAGCAGCAGCACCAGCAACAGCAGCAGCAGCAGCAGCAGCATGGTCGATGCTTATCATCACGATCCGTACCACCACAACAACTACTATCATCTGTACAATCACACTGCTCACCACCAAACCGCTGTAATGCCGGCGCCGGCGCAGTACCCGAGTCCGTCTCAGTCCCGGCTAAATCACAGGACTGCAGTCCTCTGTTGTCCATCTCGGAGGTGACCAACACGCTGTTAAACCAGTGATTACCTGCATTAACCGAAATGCGCGACCGGCCGGCTCGTTCAATAACATAATATAAATACATTATATGCTGTTTGTCATACGTCATGTAGGTATAGCCGTATAGGTAACTAAATTGTCTATATTTAAAAGTTCTCAAGGCGTATTCATGAAATACATAGCTTATCGACTATTATACTCCACTTGGCTCGTATTTAGACGAAAAGTTTTTCGTTTTTTTTTGTAAGGAGAGTTTTTTATTGCTCGACGAGTGATATTATCACCGGGGGGCAACGATAAGTACTTATCATATTATTTACGGCGATTAAAACGGGTTTCCTACACTCTACATGACGTAGGTACACCTCTATTATAATATCGATATCGTCGTTGGTCGATTTTATTTTTACTAATATAAAATATTATATTATTATGTACCTACTAAATGATATCATTATGAAAATAATTTCTAACTTTATATTTCTCTCCAGACTTTTGCTCGTCTATTTTAATAATATGTAATTCATTGCACAAAAACTGATTTTTATCAAAACATGTTTTCGTAAACCACTCCCTTATATTATATTTAAAACTTTTATGTTTGTCATCGTAAATTCGATTTATTTTAGTTTTATGGTTTGTTTCTGTGATACGAATAGGCTACAATAATAATATTATAATTTTTGTGAAAATCTATTCGAGCTGTGTTTTGTAGACGTAACCTAGTTTGTATTTTTACAGTAATAATTATTTTCGATTGCTTCGACGTGTAAAGTTTTTTCTTATCGGACAGATCATACGATTATACATTATAATATATACATGTATACTGTATACATTACATTGCTTGTAAAAATATTGTATACATAATTTACCTATCTATTGAATCTTCTCAATTTATTTATTTGTAATATTTTCTTTTTTTGTTATTTTTGACCCATTTGTAATTTATTTTTGTAAATAATTATTTATTATAAATTATTATTAATTTAAAATTACCAAAGACTATTATTTTATACAATTATTATTGCGTTCGATTAAGTTTCGTATACATTAAGCAATTGCGTTTAAAATACCAAATTTATATCATTGTCAATTTCTTTAAATTGATTATAATCCCGTATACATATAAATTGCTATTGAAAAAACACATTTGTCCTGGCACCATAATATTAACAAAATACTACCAACTTATTTTCAGCAATCTAGTACGTTATTTTTCAAAAACTTCAACAAAAAAAAGTAAAAAGATGCCAACGGCACGTAGTGTTCCCAAGCGGTCACCCATCCAAGTACTAACTACGCCCGACGTTGCTTAACTTCAGTGATCGGACGAGAACTGGTGTATTCAACGTGGTATGGTCGTTGGCGGAGATGTTTGAGTATTTTTTTTTATTTAAATGTCAAATTGATCAACATTTTTCATTTTGTTCATTCAATAGAATAAATTTGGTATCATTTTTGATACATCATTGTATGATACAAAATATAACAGTACAGTATGTAGACATTTCAAGTACTCACGAATAATATTTATAATTTATAATGTGTTTATGTATTTTTTTGGTTACAACAAATAACCAATATGAACTGTTTATGAGGAACATTGTTATAATTTTTCAATCTTTAGCTATAAAAACTTTTTATAGCTAAAGAATTAAAAACTGAACATTTTATATACATTTTTAAACTAATATAATGACTATGTCATTATACAGAATACCTAGCTCAAAAGCAATGACACATTGAATCTGTCAAAATATTCACTGATAAAAACACAAAATTTAAAATATATCTTTTATGATTTCAGGCCACAAACATTTTGAAATGTAAATATAAAATATAAGTTAAAATGTCAAATAATGCAATTACTTATGGATTTCACTATTTTTTTAAATAAAATTAGCAATGACATTTATAATATTAGGAGTGTGTCTTTTACTGATGGTAGACCATTTATATTTGATACCTACAGGGTACCAATAATTCTTACCGGGCAAACCGATATTTTCTATTTTTAGGCCACTTTTCAATAAGGCCTTTACTAGTTATTAACAACATCATTTTAATATCATCTAACTTTTATTCTGTGCTAACAATCTAACATCAACATAATTTAAATTTTTGTTTTAAAATGTTTTTGTCCAATCAACTTAAAACCAATAACCAGCCCATAATCCATGAAATAATAGATTTAATAGATACATTATTTTTTAATATTAATTTAATTTAATAATCAATTTTTATTATTTATACCAATATTAATTGAGAAATTCAACATTTAAATAAAATCAAATACAAAAGGCTTTCCGCCAACGACCATACCACGTTGAATACACCAGTTCTCGTCCGATCACTGAAGTAAAGCAACGTCGGGCGTAGTTAGTACTTGGATGGGTGACCGCTTGGGAACACTACGTGCCGTTGGCATTTTTATTTAATTTTTCGTGAAACATTCATATTTCCAAATGCCAATGGACCAAGAACTTTTTGTAGCAACCTCAATAATTTATTTTAATTAAAATAAATGCTTTTTTAAATTATTAGTTACGTTATAGTTCTATATAGTATTATGCTCAAAATAAAACAAAAAAATCCAGTCATTTATTACTTATCAGTAATAGCTAACATAGGTTTATTTGTCTGTGTCATTAAAATTGTACCATTGATATTTTGTAAAATCATAAAAATATTTATTGCTGTCTAAGATAACTTAAATATAAAATATAATAACGTGTAATAAAGGCACACAAATATATTAAATATTATGTATATAAATATGATACATTTTATAATATATATTTTTCATCATAATATAATATAATAAATACTCAATAGACCATTAATCATATTTAAAAAATTTAAACTAAAATAATAATATACAGATACGACGTTATACAATTATATAGTTATATACTTATATGTATCCTATAGGCTTTATAAAGTCAAAGGTCACATTGTAACCAAACCCTATAGCCTGTGGAATATTTACGGAAGCAGATTGCAGAAATACATTATATTGGTATATTACCATAATAATAATTGTAATTCAAATAAGTATTTAATTATTAACTGAGCAATATCTATATTTTGTATTTCTGACTATATAATAATACACTACGGGGTTCATTTGAGTGATATATTATAAAACTCTGGACGATGACACGACACACGAGTGTAACAAATGAACTATGAAGATAGTGTAGAATTAAATACGAATTTGAGGCAAAGATACTCTACATGTGCGACGTGCGTGTATGCGGCAAGACGTTAAATTAAATCTCTCGCGTGTACTGTTTTAGTACGTCGTATATCTCAAAAACTGCAGACAATTAAAAATCCATCATTTTACTCGGATCACGGCAGTTTGCAATATCTCCGACAAGTCCAACGCCGTTTTGTATTTGACACGGACACAAGTACACAACCGAATGATTATAGTTATTATAACACTATTCGCTAGCTAAAATATAGCAACCATGGAAGAGTTGACTACAAAATAAGTACACGATATCGAATAACGATTTTATTCATAAAATTAAAATTCGAATAACGGAATCAGAAAATCATCGAAAGACATTACGAACGCGCGTCCTACCAACTCTATAGAATACCCAAGTTCCTACCATGCATGCTGTATATTAAATACGGGTATTGCAGTGGAGACATTTTGAGATAAATAAATAATAATATTATGTCATAATGGAAGTTATCTAGATGACGATGAATCGTAATAATTATTGTCAATTTCGTACTTACAATGCGATACCTATCACTTATGTAATGACTAATGGTATATTCCGATATTCGGTTCTAAGATGACAGAAAAAGTCTTGACTACAGTTACGGGTTCTTAACCCTCTTAGGACGTGATACCTGGCACCTGCATGTGTTGTCTCCGTCTTACAAGTGCGTAACATAGCAAATTGTACACTCGACAGAACACGTGTAGCTCCGTTAATTTAAAAATTAAAGTGAATTGACCTCTTATAAAATCTAAAGGTAAGATTATTATCTAGGCAATCGCATAGGCTTTTTATTATATTTTTATTTTAACGCGAGTTATAAGTATTTTAAGATGTATAAAAAGAGGTCAATTCGCACTAATTTTTAAACTAACGGAGCTACACGTGTTCTGCTGAGCGTAAAATTTGCAATATTACGCAATTGTAAGACAGAGACAACACATGCAGGTATCACGTCCCCTTAATGAAAATCGGACAGTAAAATTGTACGGGTACATGTAAATTCCGCCCAAAAATGTTATGCATTTTTCAATCACACATAGTCCAATCATATTATTGTACTTATACCTATTTGCAGTATGGCTATGATCAACATTTTGTTCAGTGATGCTTGTAGTTTCACCAAAGGTTTTCACAAAAGCATTGCAGCAAGTTTTAATTATACATCGCCATCTTGTTAACCCAGAAGCAAAAGGTCTATTTACTTTATGAAAATTTAAAATCGTCTAATACCAAAAGTATATTTCCACATTCTGATTCGATAAATTGAGCTGCCACTATACCTAGGTATCTGCGTATAAGACTCAGGAACGTATATTGAACATAAAAACATCATAATTCTAAACGAAACTCAGGTGATTCAAACAATTAATAATATTTCTATCTGACATTTCCAATCATTAGATCCACGATAATATAGTAAAAGGTGATAAGATATGACAATATGACATGATTGACGATTTTCGTCTGAGACGATTGTTCCTTGTTCGAAATTTGGACTTCCAAATACTATATAACACGCCGCGTCGCGAACAGTACGGGGACGGGAATGCTTAGTTTAAAAATATTTATTTTGCTGGGCGAAATTTACAAACACATTTTTGTACTTGTACGTTTTTTCAGGCGGAATTTACCATAGACCTTATTTTTACCTGTTCATTTCGGGCGGAATTTACAACCTCTCAGTTGTACCGCCCGACGTGCAGCGTATATCAAAAGAGAAACTGACGACATTATAAATGCCTTCAACGCCTCAAGAGTCTATATAATTTATATCCCAGCGCCAATTGCGACAATGGTATCAATTGTCAATAGTTTTATTTTAACGAGTTAAATTGTTTTTGACAGGTTTTGTTCTTAAATAAAAGTACTGGAAAAGCTAAAGATTTTAAACTTTAAAACAAGGTTCCTCATAGTTAAGTAGTTCACGCTGAAGCTAAGAATCTAAAAAATATTATTGAAATTTTATGACCGAATTCGTACTTGATCAAGTTGACCAACCATTTAGTATAAACGAAATTCAATAAAAAAATTGACTTAAAAAATTTAATTTCATACATTTTTTACGATTGTTTTGATTTATACCCAGTATTTGATGTACCTATTCATAAATAGATAATCATAATATAAGCACGAGTGTCGAGTATGCCTTATTAGAGCACCTACTCATTTGGATTATTTATCTAAATTTGTAATTAGAAAACTAGAACTTGTATCTAATAAAATATTAGACTCACCGATGCTACTTGGAAATCACAACAAAAGTATTTTAAAACTTAAGACATTTTTCATTTTGTTCTATTCGTAATATTTTTCAGTTCATATTATCTACGATCCTACTACCTAGTACCTATAATTTTTTACAATCTATATATTATAGAGGTTTCGTACTATTGTGTATCGTAGTATGTGTTTGTGATATCGGAAATCGCAATAATTATAGTTTGTACCTACTACCTTCGAGAAACCAATAAACTTCATTGATTTTTTAAAATATTTTTACAAGTTCAAAATCTCC